AAGAAGAAGAAGAAGAAGAAGAAGAAGAAGAAGAAGAAGAAGAAGAAGAAGAATGATATCGATAATAATAAGAAGGACATTCAACAACGTTTGGAGATTAACTCTCCTTTAGGGAAATGTACAAAAGGAGCATAACTTATTTAGTAATTCAAACAGTTTCATTTTTTAAATTCTGTTTTATTTATCTGAAACGTATACAACATTGCTGGTAACAACATGCATAGGCCTACATTTAATTATTAAAATTATTTTTTATGATTTGCGCATGTTTTTTTATTTTCAAAATGTGACGCAACTTTTGCTTTTGGTCTGATGCTGATCTGATACACGCCATTGTCAAGGAGAAAAGTATCTCTCTTAGACAGGTGGACGTCTCACACAGTGTCAGTATGCTGTAATAATAAAAACGCAAGGGAGGAAATGGGAAATGGCCGTTTGTACAAGGGTCTGTCTTATACAGGTGGCTTTTACAGCAGGTTCGACTATAGTATGTGTCCTGTACGTCCTTAAAGAGTTAAGTATGCTTATCGATCTCCGCCGCTATCCCGGAACCAGGACCTTTGTCTGTGCAGTCGGTGGTGTGTTACTGTGAAGTAAATTGTGGATGTGTTCGCACGTGGGGATAGTGTGCTGCTCTTTATGTGTGTAGATTGAGTGTTGTTGTTAAGCAAGATTTGTGTGTGTGTGTGTTAGCACGTAGATATAGTGTGCTGCTCTGTGTGTGTAGTTTGTAGTGTGTTGCTGTAAAGCGAGCCGCTGATGTGTTAGCACGTTGTGACAGTGTGCTGCAGCTGATGTTTTCAATGTTTAGTTATTTAATTTAAAAAAAAAAAGCTTAAGTAGAGTTTTACGGTGCTTGTAACACACTTAGGTGACATAAATTCGAATTTCTTGTCAATATTTGTTGTCTAACCTGCTACGTGTGCTGTCGAACTTGTCCAAAACGACCACACTATGTCAAGGAGAAAAGTGATCATCTCAGACACACTATGGTCCTTTCGCACAGAGTAATTATACTAGAAAAATAAAACGCGAGGAAGAGAGCGGGTATAGCGGTCGTTTGTACAGGTGATTGTATTGGATAGTTGATGTTAGAGCGGGCTCGAAAAAACTTTATAATAGTTTTTAGTTTGTTATTAATCACATATCTTTTGCTTCAGTGCTAGATCTATAAAGCGATCTCGATTTTAAAAATAATAGTAAAAGTTGTTGTTTAAAATTTCGCAGGAGCCTCTCCAAAACCAACAGACACCAATAGGGTAAGCATTATTAAATAGATACGCACTTGTTTAGGTTACGTTATAATTGCGACCCCCTCAGGGAGTCTCTTTTCGGTCACGTCGATTATTTATCTATTTATTTATTTGTTTATTTATGTATTTATTTATGTATTTATTTATGTATTTATTTATTTATTTATTTATTTATCATTTTTAAAAATTCATTTATTTATTCATTTTTCAAATTCATTTATTCATTCATTTTAGTTAATTAGTTGGTTATAATACATTAGTTATCCATTTATAATCTTTAAAATCTCATATAATTTATTGTTTGATTGATTGATTTTGATATTTTGATATCTATTATTTCCATAGATGTATTAATTTCACTCAAATGTTTATTCATTCGCTCACATTTATAGATTCATTCTGTGTATGTAGTTCAATCTTCTCTGCAGTGTATAAAATTATTTTAAATCATGAAAAATCTGTTTATCTCTCTTCCTCCTTTTCTTTGTACAATATTTATGTTACTCTCTAGTAAATCCTCTAAATCTTTGGTATTTATATCACCTACTTGTGTTGTAAGTGCCGTAAAAAAAATCTTTTACTAAAACTAAGCTAAAACTGACAATAACGTGGTGCTTATGTACTAGAACTGTGGTTGGTTGGCTGGTGCTTTAGTGTAGTTTACTCCTTCTCTCCTATCAAACATCTACCGTCCTTATCTGATCTCCTTCTTTTTTGTGTTTGTTACTCATTTGTAACACCTCTAATCGTCGTCTGCATTTATATGACCTAATTACGTTGCAAATGTCGTAACACTCGTACACTAAAACTCAAGTAAAACTGAGGATAACCTGGTACTTTTGCACTAGAACAAGAACAAACAGAGCGATTTTAATCTCGCTATGTAAATATATCGTTGACGGTACATACAACCAGGTTTGTTTATCTTACTCAGGTTGGGCATAGATCAAATTTAGTCACTGTCACTTTCGGTACAATTGATAGTCAGTCTGTACACACTGAGCTCGTCCCAGGCTGGTTGGAGGGTACCACTGGTCGATCCTTTATCTTTTCTTTCCCTCCGTGTTTCTTTCTGTCTGTCTCAATCTTTTGCAGCCCTAAGTGAGCGTTGTTGTGCCAATGTGTTTCTCTTGACTCAAACAAACACAAACAGAACATATTTGCTTAGCATAGACGTTATTTGACTATAAATTATTTGAAAAACATATAGATCTAAAT